TTGTGAATTTTGCTTGTTTGGACCTTGACCAATTTGCTTCAAGTCAAGAAGGAAAAATGTAGAGAAAAACTGCTGTTCCCCAGTTTGGAGATGATGCCTTTGATTTTCCCATCAAGAAAGTGAAAAGATGAATATTTGGCCTCAAATGCTGTAACTTGCCTGTTTCACCTCTATTATTCAGATTTCTGGGTCCTTGGCACACTAACTTTTGGAGCTCAGCCTCTCTTCAGCATCTCCTCCTGTATTTAAGTGCATCCATGGGATTTACAGACACTGAAACCTTACAGAGCCCTCTTGCACACAGAGTTAGATGTAAAGCAAGAAATTCAAATAAACAAAAATACTTTTTGGCATTCCCCTGAGGGTATTACAAAACTGCTGGAAATTAAATACTGAATTTTTTTCTTCTCTACTGCTTCCTTTTCTTCTTCAAAACCTCTTTTGCCTTCATGACTGTCCCTTTAGTAAACAAAAATTAGCATTTCTTACCCAACCTTGTTAATACTCATCTTTAAATTTTCCAAGGAGATGCTTCTTTACCTCAAATCACGACCTGCTTGTGCAACAAATTTAGCTTCAGCTCTAGAAGTGAAAAATATGTTCAGATAGTTAAGGCATCTAAAATTCTTACCAAAAAAATTAGGCAAATTAATGAATCTTTGTAGAAAATATATATTGATGTATTTTAGCTGTTGGTTTTTAGAATTAAGTAGTACTTTACAGTAACAGTAAAATAATCTGGTATATTTGATAAATAAAAGCAAGTGATATATGATAAATATATAAAGGATCTGAGGTTTTTTCAGATCTGCTCCTGAAAGTTATGGTTTGGGGGTTTAAAAAGTAGTTTTACAGATGTTTATATCAAGTAACATCAAGATTGCAAAGTAAAACACTGAGAAATGCAAAATTCAAGTTGCTTTAAAAAAATTAGAAAAAATTCAGTTCTTTCCTGCAAATCCAGCATAATCTAAGATATGGCACATACAAAAGGCAATCTGTAGGACAGAACTTTTAATTTTTGCTGTGGGTTCTTGCAGCAGTGAGAACACACAGGCAGAAATCTGCCATTCTCTCCTACATTCCTTCTTTAAGAGAAGATTTTTTTTCCCCCAATATCCAATCTAAACATCCTCTGCTGCAATTTGAGGTCATTTCCTGTCCCTTGTTCCTTGTCCCCTCCTGTCAGGAGCTGTGCAGAGCCACCAGGTCCCCCTGAGCCTCCTTTTCTCCAGGCTGAGCCCTTCCCAGCTCCCTCAGCCCCTCCTGGGGCACCACACCCTTCCCCAATTTCTCCTAAGTACATTAAAAGAAATAAATTTAAATATGTAAGAATGAAGACCTGAGGTAAAGCAGAAAAATTTATTTCTCACCTCTACACATACACATGGTCTTGCACACTGCTTAAAAAACAAAAAAGGGTCATGGAAATGAAAAATATCTTTTGTCATGATGATGTTGGATATTAAATTCTCGAATGAATTGAATCCCAAGAGTTCTAAATGTTCACTGTGCTCTAGGTTTTAATTTCTCTTGTAAGTGTTGTGTGAAAAGGGCAGCTGCCTGTGATTTGTGGGGAATATTTCTGTGTGGTCTCGTTCTGTGGAAGGATGGGCTCTGTGCAGAACGAGTCTCAGCCTTACTGAGCTCAGAAAATGATGTTTTGCAGAGTGAGATAAAGAATGAATTTGTTTACTGTTACATGGTAATTTACAGTTAAATTGGAAACTGCTGTTATTTGATTGGAAGTTAATAAAAGAGAATATTGCATACTCAAATGATCAGAAGAAACCAGAACTGAAATAAAGGAGAAAGCCCTGTATCTCTTTCTACTCTGAGCTTCTGAAAAGGCTTTTAAAATATTCCATGAAATTAAAAGGAGATAAATCTTGCTGCCCTGATAATTGCTAGCTTTTACAAACAATCTGGGAATACTAAACCCAAGGGACTTGATGGGGAGAAAGATGGTAAATATGCAATTTTCCTTTTGTTTACTGCCTATTTATTCATTTTCTTTGGTGTTTTGTACTTTCTGTTCTATTGATTAGCATAAAGGCAGCTTTAGGGAGACAGCACGCTCTGTTCCTGCCTTCCCTCTGGAAAGGGAGCCTGGCTGCAGCAGCATTCCAGAGGTGGGAGGCTGGAACAGGGGTGTGGGAGAAGACAGAAAGGAAGAATCAGCACCAAAAAACCTCTCCCACCGAGATAAATTGACACCCATAAAATACTGAGGATATAAAGGTTGGTGTAACCTTAAAGGTCATTTAGAAAAGGTGATTTGCTGAGCAGGGAGGTGGAGGAATTTATTATGACAGGATTGAATTTATTATGACAGGACTTGTGCAAGGAGCACACCTTGGATTTCGCACCCTGGTGTATCCCACAGGAATTTATTTGCTTACAGATGTAAAACCATTCACCTGCTCTCCACAGTGGAATTTTCTATGCCATCAGCATTTCTAATCATGAAGGCACTAATTAGGTGGGAAAGCACCTAAAACCAGGTGAAAACTGATATTAACTGTATTAAAACTGATAAAATTGCCCAAAAGAAAAGAAGGATTTGATGGATCGTTTGGTGTCATCTCTTGTTGTCAGGTGTTGTTTGTTGTCCCATTCCACCCAAGCTACAGGTCCCTTTCTGCCTGTAGAATTTTGCAGCTGATAATATAAATATAAATAATATAAATTTATTGGTTTAGTTGAGGTGTTAGGGCATGGGATGGACTCGATGATCTTTAAGATCTCTTCCAACCTAGTCATTCTGTGAATTCTGAAATATAAATATAAAAAATACAGAATTTTGAAATTGCTTACTGGAAGGATTCCACATTTTATGGCTGTTGCCTACATTGCACCCACATTTTGCTATGAAAACAATCATCCTGTACTATTCAGTAAGAACTTTTTTTGGTGTCAAGTAATGGTATTAATTTTTACAGGATCTTTAGGTTTTGTTACCTTTCTTCAGATAAGAGAATTGGGATTTTTTTTCCCAGACATCTAGAAACCTCAAAGTTTAGCCATGTCTTAGATGGTAAGTCTGGTAGATAATATGTTCTTCTTAATTACAGGACTAAATTCCCTGTCACTGGATACACGTGCTTGTTTTAGAGGGAATAGTTAAGAAATCTGACACATGGTGTGGGTGAGGTGGCTGCTTGAAGTGACAGAGACACAGGTGGGTGCCCTGTGTGGATATTTCTATTTTCTATACTTTTAAGCCTGCCTAGGCTGGTCACGTTTAAGTTTACACAAGTGCCAAATCTTACCTAGGCTTCTCCTGTTAAATTCAGAACTCCTGATGCTGACAGCAGACACTTTTTAGTCATTTCATGTCACCTTTCATTACCCACAGTTTCACCTTGTGGTTTTCAGCAGTTTGCAGAAGAACTCTGCTAAAATAGAAGCATTCAAAAAGCAAACTGAGATCATGTGGCTGCTTCAAATGGAGGTACTCCCTACTGTAGATACAAAAAAATTAGTATTTTAAATACAGAAATAAGTAAAATACATAAAAAGCATAATTTTGGTTTCCCCATCCTCCTGCTGTGATTCTCCACACACAAATCCCCGTTGCTGCTCTTGGAGGTGCTTCAAGGATTGAAATACATTTGTGAAGCTTTTCCTTTGCTACTGAGCACCAAACTAATCTGGGGTTGATTTTTGGTTTGTTCAGTTCCTCAACAAACATGAAGGTTGTGTTGCTGGGAGGGGGAAAAACTGGGAAAATGAAATACAATGACACTTCCTGAAGGCAGATGTGAGTTTCTATCAATGCTTTTATTTTTGCTTAAGGAAACAAAAACCACAAGCAATGAGGAAACCATTAAAGGTGATAGTCCCTTCTCCCTCTGCTTTGACTGATAATTAAAAATTGCTGTTTTTACAGGTGAAACTGTGTTCAGCAGTGCTGAGAAGGCACAGAAGAGATCAGGTGTAATCACAGAGCAGAGATGAACTTCTTTTTTTTTTTGATAATCCAAGTCTATGTATTAAAATACACATTTTGATTTGGGAATTAAGAAACCCGGAGCAACGTTGTAGAAGTTTAATACAAAACAGTAGTAAATATGCAAAATACAGGTGATAAGCAGAGCAGTGAGGCAAAAGGAAATAATATAAAAGTTGATTTTTAAAATGTAATTCCTGGCTTTCCCCCAGCCCTGGGTGTAATGTACTGCCAGTCTAATCAGGACAACAATGAGATGGTGGAGTTTAATTACCAAAGCATCAAAAAGGAGATGGCACAGGGAGGCCTGATATCTGCATTAAAATGGACTAGGCAGGCTGTGTTTGAGGAAAATGAGGTTAAAACCACCACAGTTTGGTGATATACAGTACTTCTTCAGTGAGAGCACTTCTCCCAGGTGGATGCATCGTCTTTCAGCACAGAGATTTCTGGGAGATGTCAAACAGTAACATGAAAATTGAGATTACAGTACAGCTGCAGCCACAGAGTGAGCCTTTGGTTACATACAGGTTACACCTTGTCTGCAGGTATTGGGCATTTCACCCAGTTCCAGGAGAGATTCTGTCTTTTTACCCTGCCATATTTATTCAGAAGTTGGGTAAGGACCTTTGAGATGGAGCTGTTTGCACATTTCATTGATCTGCATCAGCACTCCTTAAAGAATAGATCAAAACTAACAAATCTACATAGGACCAACAGAGCAGAATTATTCAAGTTCAGTGAAATATTACAAACAAAAAGGTTTCCTTTTTAGGAAAACTCAGCTATGGTAAAAATATCTACTACAGTGCACTGCACTGTAATAAATATTCAACATAAATTAATAATTTACAAGTACCTGAGCAAGTATACAGAGCACCATAGCACAGCACAGCACCAAAGGCAGTAGCTCAGAATTCTTAAAAATAATGCTGTTTTAAACATTAAAAATTCTAAGTATTGTCATAGAAATGAACTCCAGCTGGAGCTGAAAGATAGTGCAAACTTCTGTCTTCACTTTTTAAAATAAAGGTGTCAGGTTTTCTACTCATTTCACATCCATAGTGTTGCTGGACCTGGATACCTGTGGTGGATGTTTGGGAGCAGGTCTGTTGGAAAGAAAGAAAACAGCAAATTGTTACTTAATCTCCATTTCTTTGGGTGCTCATCAATTTTGTACCTGATCAAAAATGTCAGTAATGTTGCAGGATCCCAGGGGGTCTTCAAAAGCTGTAGGAGTCAGCTTGAAATGTTGCTGCTTTCAGAGTATCTGACTAGAATGGACAACCAGCAGTTTAATCAAAGTTTCTTTGGGCAGTATTTTTGCTAAAATGTAGGAGACTATATTGATTCAATTTTTAATGCCTCTGAGCACTTAAGTGCTTTACTGCTAGAATTCTTGTAGCTTAAAACACCACTTTTATCCTCCTTGGAGCTCACTTTATTCACAGGAAACTGAGGAATATTGGGTAAGAAAACAGCATGGACTAAACCCACTAACATTGGGTGCAGCTATTGCACTTCCTGATTATTTTTTTTCTAACATTATATTTTTGAAGTGCACAATTTCTATGCTTTTTGAATCTTTTGGATAATATTTGCAGATGATGTCAACTCATGTTTCTTTGGAAAATGGGTGATCAAGAAATCACTTTTTTGGTGGCTGATTTTAACAGCATTCAGTTCTCAGCCTAATTCAGATGGGGGGAGGGTCTGAGGAGAAAATTCATTATTTGTTAGTTTTGTAAATATGCACCAGGTGTTTACAGTCAAGCCTTCACAGGTATTATAAATCCTCATATTCTCTGGGAGTCAGAGCAACTGTGCTGGTGCATTTCTAGTGAGAAGCAGCGCGGTAAGTAAAATTAGAAATGGAAATTGTGTTGGAAGTGCTTGCTGCAGCAGTTCCTTCAGCCATTTTAGCCATGTTGCTGTGAAGTGCTAAAATCCAGGTCTTAGGATTGATACCTTTTAGGGACTACCTAAAATCAGTGGCTGGACAAAATTCAGGGAATAAAAAGGGGTTATATTTATTGAAGGAACTTCAGGCACGTTTTGGGCAGACAAAGCCCCCCAGGGGCTACACCCAGAAATGGATGATGGGTTTTCATACTTTAAAGTTTGGTCCATTTGCATATTGGGGGTTAATATTCCAATTACAGCTTCAGTTAATGAAGTCATTTACCTCAAGTTTTCTCCCCCCAAACCTCACTTTTGCTAACACTTCTGGGCCCTGAGGCAGTGCGGTGTCCTTGATCGCCAGGCCTGCAGAGGAATCGCTGTGTCTGCCCCAAAATGGGAAAGCAGCAGCTTCGTGTGCGGAGTTTGGGTTACATGATGAACTGCAGGGTTACAAACAGATGGAAAACACACAAGCTGAATTCCTACGGCAGCAGGGTGAGCACTGACCTGGCAGGGGAGGCGTGGGGCAGGGCCCTGGCGCGGCCGGCGGGGCCCAGGCGCGCTCGGCCCAGGGGGTCCGCGGGGAGAGGCTTCCGAGGGGCGCTGGGCTTGGGGGGCTCCTGCAGGAAACACGAGCTCCCGTCAGTTCTCAGAGTGGACATCACACCCTCCACACAGCCACAGCTGAGACAAAGCCGTACCATCGTGGAGTCGCACACTGCGCTGGCTTGGGAGGGACCTGAAAGGCCACCCAGTGCCACCCCTGCCATGGGCAGGGACACCTTCCATGGTCCCAGCCATGCCTTGGGAGGCTGCTGAGGACAGGGTTAAAGGGATAAAGAATAAAGGTTAAAGGAATACAGGATTTAAAGGAATAAAGCAGGGATTTATTAAAAGGCCTTCACAGGATACACCTTGGGCAGTGCAAGAGCCTGGCCAAGGCTACACCCAAGAGGGACCCCAGGTCATGAGTTTTCACACTTTTATAAACTCTGGTCCATTTCCATACTGGGGTTAATGTTGAAATGTTGTTGCTTTCAGATCATCTGACTGGAATGGACAGCCAGGAGTTTAATCCAAGTTTCTTTGTGCAGTATTTTTTGCTAAAATATAGGAGGCTATATTGATTCTATTTTTAATGTAGATGGACCCAAGATGGATGGTGTGTCACGAGTTTTCACACTTTTATAAGTTTTGGTCCATTTCCATGTTGGGTTAATTGTTCAATTCCAGCTCCAGGTGATGCAGTCCCATCCTCTCAAATTTGCTCTCCTCCATTCCCTGTTTGGACTTTTTGGGCCTGAAGCTGCAGTGATGTCCTTGGTTCTCACGCTGGAAAAGGATTGTTCTGTGTGACTGAACTGTGAGGAGAGCTGCTGATACTTTATATGAAGTTCAGAGTTATATCCTAATGCAGTACAGAACCTGGAAAATATGAAAGCTAAAACTTAAGGCATCACCAGGGTGCTCCAAGCCCCATCCAACCTGGCCTTGGACACTTCCAGGAGGCAGCCACAACTCTGGGCAAAAATGAGACCTCACCCGCCCTCACTATTTCTTCCTAACACCTAATCTAAACCTAAATTGAAGATATGTTATGACTAGATAAGTTTAAATTAATAAAAAAATAACTTATTTTTAATAAGCTGGCATTCTAATTTTAAACCAAATATTTAATACTATATTTTCATGATTTTTGTCTTTTGATTCTTGACTCCAGAAGTGCAGGGTGCATCTCTACTGGACTCAATGCTTAATTGGTGGTAAATGGAAACAGCAAAGATTCAATACATAACTTTGCAGAAGCTATTCTATAGAAAGGTGGGAATGCTTGACATGACTTTAAAATGGAAATTCAGATGGCCACAAAACCCAAGTGCCCCAGTCTGGTTTGGATTGGGAGCATCTGTGGATTTTTTTTTTTCACTGTGCTTTCATTGGGTGGAATTAAAGGCTCCGTTAATAAAGAACAGAAGTCATCTGCTGTCAGGCTGGGCCAGTGGCTCCTCTGGGTGGTCCCTGCAGCCCTGCAAACAGGGAAACTTGGCTGTTTGTGCTCCTTGTTACGGGGAGCTGGGACACATTAAATGTCTTGCTCAGGGCACACAAATCTCTCCAGTTTATCCCCAAACTCACTTCAGATCCTTCTACTGCTGGAGCTGTGTAGCCATGCTTTTCCCAAGGAATTTTATTCCTTATTTTTAGTTTGCCATAAGTGTCACTGGTAAAGTTAAAGGAAACATGAAGAGCTTACAAGCATAATCTGATTAAAGATCCTTTGAAAGATGTGATCCAAACAAGCAATCAGAGCATGAATTGCCCCTGAATGAAGTTGAACTTTTCATTATTTGTTTTGAGCACCCCTTTGTTTTTTTACTTTCCATGGCAAATATTTGCTCTTTCAAGAGGGAAATGCAGACTGATTATCCACAGGCATTTTGATAAGGAAGAAAATACACAAGCTTAAGTAAATTTCATATATAATAAGTCCAAATTTGCCACAAACTACATTTAAAAGTTGCATATAATGTCCACCCTCTGTTTAATTCTCTGCATCACAAGTACAAGTATTGACAGGTACACAGGCCCAAGTCCTAATTTATTTATTCATTCATTTCCCACTCAAAATGTCCTCAAGTTAAACTACCCTTAAGGAGGAAGCAGCCAAGTGTTCTGACAGAAAGTGTAATGTGGTGGCAAGCTGCTGGGAAAGGGTAAATGAATGAAAAAAAAAATTAAAAAGGGAGGGAACTGTGATAGAAATGGAGCTGGAGAATAAATGGTGGCTGAGATGAAGCAAAATGGAGCAGAAGGAGATGCCACCAGGAGCACACAACCTTAGGAACAGAGGAAAAGCTCTTTGAAGAAATAAATCCTATCCCCCAGACTGATTACAGGAGGGTCTTCTCTATTCTTTCTGTGCCACAGGAGAATCCAAACTTTGTGTGTTAACTCGTGTGGGGCCCTGCAGAGCCTTTGATGTGCTGGGAATCTGCAGCACAGCTCACAGAACCACCACAGCTCTGCTTCCCTCATTCCTCTTCCTCCACTTCTTTCCCTACAAAGCTTCAGCCCTTCCTCACAAAGAGTTTATGGATGGATTTATTTGTCCATTTTATATCCACAACCTGGCATTTAATGCACTCAGGCCCTGCTTGGGGAAGTGTTGTTTTAAATATTGGAATAAAAAACACAATTCTCATACTGAGCAGCTCCAAAGACATTAGATGCATGAAATTCCAGGTTTTTTCCACCGATTTTTAAAGAAGAAAGTGCAAGCCCTCAGTGTCTACAGCCAGGCTGAGGTGTCACAGGAGAGATTCCCAGGATAACTGTGGCAGAATGAACAGGAGCTGAGCTGAGCTCGGTTTTACTGAGGAAAAAGTAAAACCACTTTTTTAAGTGGTAAAATTTTTAAGTAAAAAAGTTCTATTTCCTGGCATTAGGATGAGCTGTAAAATATGAGCTATATGTTGGTAACAAGAGGATGAGAATGTCAGAGGCAGCAACTGAATGCTAAAAGCAACAAAATCGAGGGGAAGAGATCAAATCCAAATGCTTGGGCTGATGGCTAGGATAAACCTGCACTGTTCCCTTGATTCACATGGGGCTCTGCTGATTTATACTGACTGTGAATCTGGCCCATAAATAAAGGCTGTTTGCCTTGCAAGAGCATCTGAAAGAAGGAAAAGCTGTTTTTCAGTCAAAAGATAATTAAATATTAAACTCTGCAAGAGCTAATTCGCTGAGGATTTTTTGTTTCGTTGATTGGTTTGGTTTATTTCATGCTGTCTTTGTTTTTTAACTATTTACAACTTAAGGAAATTTTATAAATTTACAGCACTATTCTGCAGCACTGAGCATCTGGGTGACATCCTGAGTGTAGCAATGATTTTTCAAGTCCTTCCTCTTGCTGACCTTCTGGATGTGCTTCCAAGAGAGAGCTGAAGCAATACATGAAGTAGTATCTATATTTATTACCCCAAACTATTCTTAAGCTAATTTACTTCTTCCAAGCTTTGAGGGGAAAAATTAACTTAGGAATGAAAGATTTTCTCCCCACGCAATGTTTTTTTGGTCCCTTTGATATAAAAAGTAGCTGTTTCTGACAATATTGAAGTTATGATATAATTTTGAAAGAATCCATTCTTGCTCATTCTTTAGGCTGCCTTGAGCTGATCCCCTGTTTGTGTTCCATGCAGAGACTGAAAATGCTGATATTTTGCTTGATGAAGGAACTGTCACAATGAATTGGAGCTGCCAAGCTGAAAAGCTTTTTGGCAGTTTCAGATCTGTCAGCCTTTGCTAGTGGTAGTACTGCAGGTCTGGTATTCCACCTGGCACTCTGGGCAGCATTTGGAGCACAAGGATTTACTGGGCTGCTGTGATGTGCAGTGAGGCTGGGGCAGGTGTAGATCAGAGTAACAAATGGTTCCTTTTCCTTTTCCTTGGAAAGCCTTTTCTCCATCCATATTCTGCTTAAGGAACTGAAAAGCACTTGCACTTGTAATCTTCCCTATGACCACTGTGAATTGTGCAGAATGTTAGAGAATACCAGAAAATGAACAACGAGACCACTGGAGCTAAAGACAAGCAACAGGAATCAATATTGCTTCTGATTCCCTACAAAATTTATTTTAAAAAGAATCAGCATTCCTTACTCCCCTGGAAAGAAAATGACTGGGAACATGGAAAAGGGAAGACAAAAAAGCAAATAAAACACAGATTACACTTGTAAAAATTGGTCTAATGTGAGCGATACAATGTTCAGGCTTAGAAAAAATTAAATCTAGAAATGTTTTATTTGCTGCCACAATGGGCAGGGACACCTTCCACTGTCCCAGGCTGCTCCAAGCCCTGTCCAACCTGGCCTTGGGCACTGCCAGGGATCCAGGGGCAGCCACAGCTGCTCTGGGCACCCTGACAACTTCTCTGGTCAGCCTCTCTCATCCCTGTTTATTTCTGACATTTTTCTAATCCCTTTTCAAAGCCCTGCACTCAAGCACTGTCTCAGAGCTGTCTCCTCCTATCCAGCATCACGAAAGGGTGTTGAGCAGCTCTCAGGGCTCCTGCAGGTGAGAGCCTGGTGTTAACAACTTTATTTTAACTTTTAATTAACTTTTTTTTAAATTTAATTTTTAATTCACTTTATTTTAACCATGTACCACACCCAGATCAGGAACAGCCTGGGTGCTTTGCCTAGAAACAGTCACTCCAAAGTGCCACCAAAAGGGAGCAGCCAGTGACAAGAAAAGGCACTGTTTAATACTGACAGCTGAATCTACCCTATCGCCCTGAGATGCATCTTATTCAAAAATAAAAAATAAAAAATATTTACCATCTCTACTTAAACATTGCAGTGAAAGGTGTGTCTGCATGAAATAGTGCTTTTCAGGTCTGTGCCCTGGAAAAACAGACTGTGCTTCATGCAGCCCTTGGCAGCACATAGAAGCACATCAAGCTAAGACACCTTTTGCTCTTGCACATCACGTGTGCAACTCCCTAAACTCTCTCTCTGTGCTTGGCACCTCACTAACAAACTGTGCAGCTCCCCTCTGCTTGGGCAGCTGCAGAGATGTGTTTGCCTCTAATGTGTTTGTTCTGTTGTCTTTTGAGTGGTGAAGGCAGAGTTCAGGATCCAGAATTTTAGGATCACAGCCCCACTTGCCACAAGGCAACTTTTCTACAGCAGAGTTCTAAACTCACAGAAAGCATAAAGGAAAGACTGTGGGGAAAGGGCAGCAGGAAAGATGAGAAAACACTTCATTTCTCCAGACACTCACAGAGTAAATATTACATAGAAGAGAATCAACAGTTACCTGGGAGAATCGCAGTGAAGGATTAGCTGGCAGGGGTCTCTCAGGTCCAGCTTGGTGGCCTGGCAGCTGGGGAAGGGGTGGCAGGACTCTCTGGGGTGTTTTTAATGGTGGCACCTCGTGTGTCTTCACAGGGCTGCTGATGTCGATGATCTGATACGGCAGCGGCCGCCTGGGGCCGTCTCTCTGGGAAAAATCATCCTTAAAGTTATACATTTCAGTAATCCAACCAAAGTTATATATTTCAATCATCCAACCAAAGTTATATATTTCAGTAATCCAACCAAACTTACACATTTCAACCATCCAACCAAAGTTATACATTTCTACCATCCAACCAAAGTTTTACATTTCAATAATCCAACCAAAGTTACACATTTCAACCATTCAACCAAAGTTATACATTTCTACCATCCAACCAAAGTTTTACATTTCAATAATCCAACCAAAGTCATACATTTCAACCATCCAACCAAAGTTATACATTTGAACCATCTAACCAAAGTTATACAATTCAATCATCCACCGAAGTCATATATTTCAATAATCCAACCAAAGTTATACATTGCAAGAGCTGGCACAGAATCACAGGATGGTTTGGTCTGAAGGGATCTGAAGGATCAGCATGTTCCAACCCCTGCCATGAGCAGGGACACCTCCCACCAGGGAGCTCCAAGCCCCATCAAACCTGGCCGATTGCTACTTTAACATCCATGGTAGTCCCTTGCTTTTCTCTCCTAGAGACAAAACTATTTATTTTCTGCACTGGACAGCTCCACCTGTATTCAACGTGGAAGCCATAAATGAAATTTGAACTTACATCCACTCCCATTTTACTTAATGTTAGTCCTACATGATATTAAGTTCATGCAATATTATAATAAATCATTTAATTGAGATAAAATACATGAGACCTTTTTTTGATTTTCCCCTACTTTAAAAAAATAAATATTTAGGGACTCACTTTTTGTATGGCTGTATTTTGTGGCTTCACAATAAGATTTTTACTAACACATATGGTATGAACATGATTTGGCTCAGATGAACTGGAAGGTCTTGCAGGACTCACAGACCTGCAATACAAACATTTAATTAATGAACACAATGTTCTGCTTTGTAACATTTTCTTAAACAGGAGCCTCTTTTTAGAATGGGATTTTGCAAGAACTTTCTGCCTGGTTATAGTAAACAAGGAAAGTAAAAACTGTCTAGCACTCCTGCAAGAATAAAAATAAATATTGATTTTTTAGAAACCAGTAGTCTGTTAAATTAGCTTCTGCAATCTGTGGAAATGCAGCTTTGTAACACCCAGGAGACTATTCTAATGAATCTAACATTTAAACAGTAATGACCTCAAATAGGAAAGTTTCAGCTCACTCAGCTGAGTTTAGATAAAAGGCCACACAGTGTAATGAAACTGTTTCAGGCAAATGAAAATAAAGGCAATACTTCCATCACTGCTTAATTTTTCATCCCAAAAGGAAAGAGGGATATATTCAAACCAAAACCTGTGTTATTTACTGCCTATCAATGAAATTAAACCAACCCAGGGAAAACACTACTGATAATGGTGAATATTTTTTGTCAAGGCTGGCTCTTCCTAACACATTTACAGTGATGAGAATTGCTGTGTTTACTGCTTCCTTTCCTTAATATCTATGGGAATATAATTAGGGAAAATGGGCATACCTTAATTTTTCTATTGTTGTCTTCTTGCTTGTAAACAACCACCTCATGAAAGTCTTCCTTTTGAGGTACATGATTGATCCAGCAAAGATAAGGCACAGGATGGTTATCAACACTCCTATGGTCAAACTCTTATTGTCTGCAAAAAAATCACATGGAGTTAACTTCTTCCAAGGGCCTGCTTACTGCCTGGCCAGAGTTTCTTTGCTATCTTCAAAAAACAAAAATCTTTCAGTAGTGAAATCATGATGGGAAGCTTTGTCATGGAAACAACCATGCTGTCATAATTTTAGTACAGCCACCCACTGCAGCATCTGGCATGCAGAGGAGAGATCCATTTTGGTTTAGAACAGTATTGTTCATATGAAAACAGACATTATTTCCCATTGAGATTTAGTTTATACATGTACTTGTGAGGAGACTGCTTGTCCTGTCATGTCCCCAGACATAAACCACAAACATCTTTTGAGGTCACTAATGTTCCAACACTCTGGGGAAAAACTGGCACGGAATAATGAAATCCTGTGAAATTAACAATGTGTAGAAAGAATTCTTTCTGAGGTTGACCAATTTCCACTCTTTATCCTCGAAAAAAAACAGGTGGAGGCTGAATTCCCACTGACCTGCCTGTCTGATGGGCCCACTGTCCACGCTGCCACCAAAGCCTGGCTTGTCACAGAAGGGGGGGGCCCAGTCAGCCTCACAGTGACAGTTCTTTTTGTTGTTGCAGACCTGCAAAACAAGACAAATGGCTTAACATAAAAAACATCCGAGAGCAGCCCTGGCTGATAAGGGCTTCTAATCAGACAGTGACACATCAGAGAGGAATAAAGCTTGGAGAAGAAAGGAGATGTGCTGATAGCTGCCTGCTGCACACTGAGGTGGCAAAGAGCAACTTGCCACGGAGGAAGAGGGATCCTAAAAACCATTATTTCTTTGGCAGGTAATCGTTGGAGTTGCCCCAGCTGACAACATCAATAATATGAGGATAATCAGACACCTCTTAAGTCTTGTTCTCTGTTTGCTTCCAGCAGCAGCATTATCTGCCTGGTTACTTCAGTTCCTCCTGCCTGCCTGCACAGGAGCAGCAGAGCTTTGCCAGCCCCCCAAGTATTACTGAAGGGGTACTGGGGACAGCCAAAGGTGATTCAGAGACTTTATCATTAGAAGGCATGAAAAGACACTTTAGTATTAGAAATCTTCAGTTCTTATAGAAACAATGGTGGACCTAAGACCTGCTTGGCCTTTAGGAATCTTCTCTCACACCATTGGTAAACTATGAATAGCACACTCTAGAAAACCGTATCTATAAACAATGGTTACAGAAAGAGAGATAATAATTGTTTGAAATCTAAGTTTCTCACAGCTTCCCAGGATTTTCCTGGGAGAACCATGTCTCCCTCTGTTCAGAACTATGTAATTACTACACCCCGAGCTCTCCTCTCCATCAAGAGCTTGCACTGGGCCCAGCATGGATTTTTCCATGGCTCCAAGATGAACCACTTCCTGCAGTAAGCTGTGAAAAGGGCTCAGGGCTGAGGAAACCCTCAGGGAGCTTTGATACCACACCTGCACTGGCTGTAGAGACACAGGGCTCCATTCTGGGGTGGTTTTAATCCGAGTGAGGGAACAGCTCGTGAGGCCCGACCAGCCCAGTGGGATCAGAGAGCTCCGAGGGACGGGAGCTCAGCACCAGCACAGCCTGGTCCTGCTGCACACGGGGCAGGAGCCAGCAGCTCCAGGGCTTTCCCACAGTCCAAATGCTCCTCATCTCCTCTTGCTGCTCCCCAGCAGCTGCTGTGTGGTGAATACAGAGCTCAAAGCTCTGTGCTGGACTGACAGAATGCATGGAGTCACAGAACTGTTCAGGCTGGAAGAGTCCTCCCAGATCTTCAACCATTCCCCAGAACTGACAAGGCCACCATGTCCCCACGTGTCACCACATCCACATGGATTTTAAATCCCTCCAGGGATGGGGACTCCAAACTACCCTGGGCAGCTGTGCCAGGGCTGAAAAAATTTTCCATGAAGAAATTTTTGTAAATATCCACCTGAAGCCTGCCCTGGCCCAGCCTGAGGCCGTTCCCTCTGCTCCTGTCCCTGTTCCCTGGAGCACAGCCCGACCCCCCCGGCTGTCCCCTCCTGGCAGGAGCTGTGCAGAGCCACAAGGTCCCCCCGAGCCTCCTTTTCTCCAGGCTGAGCCCCTTCCCAGCTCCCTCAGCCCCTCCTGGGGCTCCAGAGCCTTCCCCAGCTCCATTCCCTTCCCTGGACACGCCCCGGCCCCTCAGTGTCCCTCTTGTACTGAGGAATGTCCTTGTCCTTCAAGATCTGAAGTCACATTTAGGTGCTCAATCAATCAATTTGTAAATAAATCCATTTGTAAATAAAGATTTTGGGCTTAGGGCTTGTTGTCAATAAGGTCCTTAATTCTGTGCTAACCCCAACCATCACTGGTCTGCCACCACCATGGAGAGCCCACAGCACAGATTAAGAAATGAGTTTTCAGTAAGACAAAAATCAGTTCACAGGAGTTTGGGTTACTCTGAACATGCAATATTCTGGCCAGGTCAGCTTGGCAGGCTTTCAGAAACACTCTGCTCCCTGTGTCTGCAGAGCACTAAAATATTCAGAGAGCTCAGCCTGGCTGTGGTCATGTAAAATTTAAAAAAAAAAAATACTTACATTTCAAAGACAGCAAGATAATTAAAATATACGTTGTTAAGCACTATTTTTTAAATTAAAGCACTGCAGGCATTCCTATTTACAATTCCACGAGGTCAGTTTTGCCACTGAGGAGTCACAAACGGTTCTTGTTTGTACAGACATAAAAAATGCCAGTCCAAGCCTCTGCTCATTCCATCCTCAATGATAAGAGGCAGCACCATCAACACTGCTCAGTTTTGCAAATTCAGGGTGATAAAATAAGTTAAAGCAAATTAAAATCCTTCCTCAGTGAGGACAGTGAATTTCTATGGTTCTTCCAGTGTGGCTGCCACAGCTTTTCAGAGAAACAAACAGCTCATCAGCACATCAAGGTTAATAAGGCAAAGCCTGACATAATTAACATTATCATAATATAAACTGGGTTTCAAGCCACTGATATTATTAAATGATATCATCACATTTTTCACTCTGTGCCATTTTCATGCCGCAAAACTCATCAATATGGTTTTACATTTTTTTAATGTTTTTGGAAATGCTGTTTCATTTGCCTCTCAATCCAAACGCTTCCAACGCTCAATTCAAAAACTTTAACTTCTTTGTATGTATGGAGAAACTGCATTTTTGATTTTAAATGGGAAATTTTTTTTTGGTGTCAAATATAAACCAACCCTATTTAACATTTAATATTTATAGGGAACAGAAGTAAGCAAATAGCATATGCACAGGAATAAAATTCAATTTTTTTTTTTGTTTTCCAGTCATTGCAGATAAACTTTACTCTGCCAATGGAGCTGAAAATTGAGGTTAAGCAAGATTAGTGCCGAGCAATAATAACATCAAACAACCACACAACTGATGAGCACGTCAGTAATGAGAAGTTACCCTATTCCAAACTGAAAAAAGAAGAAATTAGGACTGGAATAACTGTTCCTATGCTATGTTGACAACAAAAAAGGTCAAAATGCCCCACACTGCACATTTTGCTCGTGTTTAACTGCAGTGCAGTTCAGTAGTACTAAAAGTCAGTCACAATAATTAGCATTAAGCTGGGAATGGTGTTGAAGGAGGCGACAGGGATGCTTAATCAGGGCACTTATCCCCTGGGGAGAAGGAAAAATGGAAAGGAAATTAGAGTGAATTGGCATCAACATGCAGGCATGGAGAGAATATGGTCTGATTACAGCACTATTCACAATTCAAATATTCACAGTGCAGCAGCTCCCAGAATTCTGATCACATTAAAATGGCTGCGTTTCAAATTGTGCATCTCCAGTTGAGAAAACCCAAGAATATTTAAATTCATATTCTTAATCCATAATACAAATGCACTAATGTCCTCAAAGTAAAACATACAATTTCAGAAGTATTAGCCTGTGTATTCTATAGTGTGGATGTGTATGATTAGATAGATTAGAAAGATTAAATACTCATTAGTAAAACATAATGGGGTGCTTTCTCAGCGCTGAGTTGCCTTTGAAAAGACTTTTTAGAACAGATTGACTTAGAAATGTTGTAAGGGTTGTTTTCCTGTAGCAGAGCTGTGGTTTCACTGGGGATGGATTTCAAACCTGTTCCCAGCACAGTGAGATAATCCAACGTAATTCAAAAGCATTCAGAAGTTCAGTGGCTTACTTCAATTTACCACAAATTATCAAAGCACTTGTTTTTCCTCCTTTTTGCAAGCAATCCACTGAGGGTATGGAAACCTCCTTCATTTCAATAGCTCTTGGACTGCTTTCCATTCCTCCTCCCCCTGTAAACTCATGGCTGCCTCCCATCTTTCTCAGTTGCTTTCCTCACAAAAGAAAAACTTAGAAGGAGACAGCCATGTGAAATCTGGGCTGCATTTGCGGTGGGTAATTCACAAAATTTGCAAAACACAAATATAAAAATCAGTTTTGGTGGCTGAGCATCAATTGGTTTAGAGTTTTCTAAGAGTGCATACAGAGACAGGTTTTCCTGCATGAAAAAAGAAGTGAGGAGTCATAATCAGAAGATAAAATACATTTTGAAATCTAAAGTGAAGTTAATGACAATTTTGCAATGCCAGAGATGCTGGGAAAAGAAATACATTGAACTCAGGAATTCATTAATAAGCCTGTAATGTATTTTGCTGTACTTATTTTGCAGAAAACCTCAAGCCTCCATGGGCAGATACTTGGGACTGTCTTCAAAAAATCAGTCATAAACTTTAGCAATTTGCATTGCCCAGAATCCCAGGATGGTTTGGTTTGGAAGGGACTTTAAAGCTCATCTATTTCCAACCCCCTGCCATGGCCAGGGACACCTTCCACCAGATCAGGTTGCTCAGATTTGCATCTGAAAATCCATAATCCAGAACAGTGGCCAGGAGGGAGCAAAATTTATTTCAGTCTGAGTGTGAGAAGCAATTATTTTGTGGGGGGAAAAAAATGCCAAAGAAAAAAGAAGTACAGAACACTTGGCAGAATGGCGGTAGAGATGTTCCCTTTGTCTGGGACTATTCCAGAATCTTACCTTTCCATCTTCACACTTGGTTCCTGCCAGTACCAGCCCAGGGTCAGGCATATCATCCCCCAAATACACGTGGGTGCCACGGCACAGGATCTTGCCACCCTCCTGGAGTGGGATGTTGGTTTCTATGGAAACTGCGTTGGTACCGATGACGGGTCGGTTTGCTCCTCCTTGACACTGGATTTTTCCACACTTCGCATCCCTGATGGAAATAAACACAACACAAGCAAGGATGAGGTAAATAATTTGAAATGTTCCAAGCCCTCTGCCAGCACCTGTTGCTGTGTTTGCAGGGAGAGGCCCTACCTGGGTTCACATTTGGCAAAGGAGCTCTTGGAGTCTTTCCCGCAGTTGCCGTAAGGGTCTCCAGCAGAATTGACTCTCTCAAAGCAGATCCCAGGAGCGGGTTTTGCACCTGAAACAAAACCTAATCAGAACTCTCATCTCATATAAGGTGTTTTTAATAATTTCCTTTGAGCTCTGCTGGTGCTTTAGGGGAGAGGGAGGATGTGAGCTGAATGTTGATGAGGCAACAAAACAGCGGCGCTGGATCCGCATGCTAATGGAGGAGTTTGGATGGGTGGGATTGCCAGTGTTTGTCTCTGAGCAACAGGCAATGCAGAACTCCTTCTCTTCCAGGATTTCTCGAGCTCATAGCCCTCTTGCCAATCCTCCCAGGACACAAAAACTTCAAGCAAATACCAGACAGACAAAGGCCAGCTGGAAAGTTGACTGTCTTCTTTTGCAGGAGTCCATGTTCTAGTGAGACCCCAAAGAAAATTCTTTTCAAGAAAGGCCTGTTTGACTGCAATTGAGAACAAGACAGCAGAGAAAAATCCAGTTGTAAACTGGGTGTAAAGATGTAAGACCTGACATGGCAAAGGGAAATGCTGCTATTAACTCAGGCTGAAGGACTGGGGAGAGGAAAGGAGTCCATCTCACCTTAACCCTCAGGACATCCACTCCTGAGAGGAAAGACTGACATGGAAGAAGGGGCACTCCTGCTGTGGTGGTAAAAGTGGGAATCTGGGAGTTCAGACAGCATCTGGTTCTAATCTACTGTGATATTTTCTGATAGAGACATATCCTAATGGCAGAGGAACTTCCCTGGTGGGAGTAGGGCTGGAAAAGCTTGTGCAGGCAGATCATTCATCCCGGCACTTCAGAAGTTTGAGGGTACTATTAGAACATCTCTTCTAATGTTTTATACACATAATCTCCTGCTCATTTCCCTCCAGATTAGAACCAATTATAGAATATCTTCCAGGGGAAGATGCATCCGTTCATCTGGAATGTTGAAGAGGTGAAGGATCAGCTTCCCTGGTTTGCCTGCTGCAACAATTCATTAGTCAGTGTACTGGAATTTAATCCCTTTGTTCTACACTGAAGTGTGGCTTTCATTTCCAGCCAATAATTGCTGCTTCTTGCAAGATTAAGAGGCCCTTTGTTAGGGCTCTTTACTACTCTGTATTTTCTTTCCATGAAAATAATTAACAGCACCATCAAGTCACCACCAACACTTCAACTGCTCCAACAGGGAGACTGGCTTTGAGCAGCAGAGGAGCTGAGGAGAAACTCTGGCTAAAACTGTGATCAGAGACCTGCTACCTGCACTTCTGTGCTTTTGACAGATCAGCCAAACCAAAGCAAAAAGAACTTGGCAGCAAGTGATGTGATAGCCCAAAGGCTGAGAATATCCCATTTCTACAGCGCTCCTGATCTTCACCAGACACAGAATATTTCAACTAATGCTTCATTTTGTCAAATGTTTTGAGCCACTTCCAAGTGTGTATGCCTCTAACTGTGGGTAAAACATTGCATTTATTTAAGCCAGACTGAAGATTTCATTTGAAAGCCTTCAAAGAGGAAAATGTTATTTTTTTTCTTTTCTTAAAAAAAAAAAAAAAAAAAAAAAAAAATTTTTAAAAAAAAAAAAAAAAAAAAAAGAAAAAAAAAAGAAAAAAGGAGGGGGGTCAGATTCATGGAGAAGAAAATACAAATATGACTGTAACACTTCCAGCCAGTGTGGATCTTTGCACTAAGAACTCAGAGATTAAAACTTCAATTAATTATCTGCATTTCATAGTCAGAAGCCTGACTAATACTATATACTGCTGAACAGCAATCTAATGCTATTAAGAACAAAATATTAAAACTTGGAGAGGCTTAAGATGGCACCCTCTTTTCCTTCTCACATTTTTACATGAAACTGGAAAATTCAGAAAGAAGGGCACAGAAGGAAGAGAATATGAGCTGATGGTTCCCTGGAGAGAAGGACAAGAGCTTGAAATTCTTTGGAAGATTACGATCAAGCTTGCTGAGTTCAGAATATTTTTTCAAATCTGGAACTCTTAAAAGAGACTCACACAGGATTCTTTAAATTCTTTTTCATTAAAGTTCAAGCAATAATAGGAAAAAATCAACAAAAGCATCCAGACAAGGTGCAGTGCAGAAAAAGCAAAAGTTAAATTTCCATTTTCAGCATGTGGATCCCTCCTCCTCTTTCCAGGGTGGGCACACTCAGTGTTCAGCTTGAGACAAACATTACCATGTACATATTCTACAGCAGCTTTGGAAGGGCTGGGGAGGGAAGAAACATTCTGGGAGCAAGAGGCCAAGGAAACCAAGGCTTTTTCCAAAACTGCTTTTTCCAAAACTGCTTTTTTCCGCACATGTGCAAGGACCAGGTTGTGCAGCCCTGGTTGTGTGCAACTGCTCTGGATCTTGTTTTTGGCCAGGAGCCTCAGCCCAGCTCAGCTGCTGCCATGGAATTCCAGAGGCTGGATGTTCCCTTGGAGCTGTGGCAGCAGCAGCCAGAGCCCAGACACGCTGTCCCCTCAGTGGTGTCCCCTCCCAGAGCTGCCAAAAGCCAAATGAACGCTCATGTCCTGTGCTCTGACTGCAAGGGATGTAACAAAGGCTTATTCTAAAAATGGGTTTCAAAAGGGAATGCACTTACTGAACACAGGCAGAGTTTAAGGTGTTCCTCTTTCACCTGGTGGAAGTTTGTTTTTTGGTGTGGCTGATTTTTTTCCTGAATTCAGAAGCCAGGCATTGCAGAGATGACAGAAAGCAGCCCCCAGGAAGGAAAACACATCTGCGGGGCTCAGACACTGAGCTTTCACTCCAGCTAATAACACTTGACAAGAAAAAGGATCTCATGGAGCACAAAAACCACTCCCCTGCCAGGCTGGGAGCAGTCTGTGTGTGAAAACACCTGGTACCCAATGATCATCTGCAGCCTGGAAACCAAAATCCAGCTTCAATTTCTGCCTTTGGTATCCAACCAAGACAGGCTGTTGCTTGGGATTCAGATGGCTGTTCCCTCTCCCCACTGGCTTCTCACAATATTTGCACTTTTTTATGGATGAAAACATATCAGAGTGTAAGATGCTGAACAGATGGAGCTACCAAGTTAAAAGGAGGCTTTCAGAGGATGCTTAAGGAGGAGAATTGTAATGTTGTGTTTCTGGAGGAAACCCATTTATCATGACTGCACCACATAAACTGAAGCAGAAAGTCCTGTCTTCCTCTATTTTCTACCTCTGCAGGCAGAGGCAAAATGATTTGTGAAGGATTTCTGGTGGTTATTAAGTGGCTTGAGCTGGATGAGCAGAGTTTATTTCACTTTGATATTGGTAATTATAGTATCATGACCCTGTAATTAAGGTCCTGTCAGCCTTTCCATGCCAACCCTCATTTAAGGGATTAAATCAGCCCCTGGAAGCTGCAGAAGGTCAAAGCTCACCCCTGCAGCTGGCAGCCTGGAGAGTGTTGGGGCATTTTCTCCAAATATATATTGGTGAGGCCACTTCTTTCCCTATGCAGTTGCAAAAAAATAAAATAATAAAAAAAAGACAAGTTGCAGGGCACAGAAATGCTGTGTCATTTCAAACCTGCTGCCATAGCAAAACACTAACACAGCCTCTTGAAAGGAACGAGGGAAATTTCTGACCATGGTGCTGATTCCATGAACACAAGAAACATCCTCTATCAGGCTGACAGCAGAAAAGGAAGATATTGCAGTTCAGTTCCCAGCTGTCTGTGGGTGGGGAGAGGGGACAAAAACAACCTCTGAGTAACAGGCTGGAGTTCTGTGGCTCAGGCTGTGCCAGCCAGCACCACGAATAACTGTGCAAATAAATATAAGCATAAAAACCACAGTTCTCTGTCGTGTGATCTGGGTTTCAGCTCATTAAATTTGTTTTTGCTGCAAAGCAAAAGTTCCACTAGCTGCCCTTGGCCTCTCTCCCCATCCTGGTGATTCCTGTTCTGTCTGGGCAAGAGCAAGATGGGGTTGAGCATTTTTTTACATTTAAGGAGGATGATGTCACCACCCCTGAGAATATTATTTAATATCTTTCCCATCTCCCATCTGGCCATAAATCTGTGATGATCAAAATAGTTTGATTTCACTGAATTCAGAAAATTGCAATGCTTGGACAATTACCATTTTTTCAAAAGCAAGTCAGCAATGGTTTGGTCAGATAGCTGAGGTGGGCAGCCCATTTATTTTGTGTGTGTAGGGTTCTACCTGGAAAAACCTGCAAAGTTCTCACACAGTAACAAATATTGATGTCTAAATTAAGAACGTTCCTGCCTAAACAAATGGCCATGTCCATGCAACACATTTAAATGTGTTCTAATTATTAAATCAATGCCTGTCATTGGCTCCCCAAAATCATTGCTTTTTTCCCACTTGGGCAAATACAGGAAAACAAACTGACAAACTTCCCTAAAGAATCATTTTCTTGTCAATGTAGAAAAAGCCATGAGTTTAAAGTTGAGAATCTTCTGTTCCTTGGTAATCAATGATTTCTCTGTCTTGAGCAGCTCTCTCTGGGTGTCTGTTTCTCCCAGAAAATGCCACTACACAAAGCATTCCATTGATGTCACTGCTATCAATAGGTCAGATCAGTGCAACCTGGTATTTTTGAATATGCACCAAAAAAAGGTAACCAGCAGTTCCTGCTCCCCAAGGATAAAAGTGACATGAATTATGGAGAGAGAGAGAATGGAGAGCTCTGGGTGTTCTGGGAACAGACTGGAATCAACCTGGGTCTGAGAGGAATTCATGGCTATTTTCAGAGATTGTCCCCAGGAGCTCCTCCCTTCTCCTTCCACGCAGATAAGAAAGAGCAAAAAAAAAAAAGTCCTCTATTTTATCTGAACCACTGTGTTGAGAGAAACAAAAACAACCCCAAGGAAATGCAAGTGCTTTTCTGGAAACAGGTTCCTACTGCTCAGCCTAATGTAAACAGGCTCTGACAGTGTTCATCATTTTCCTTTAAATAGATCTAAAAACATGAAGATTGACATTTTTCATTGGGCTTCTGGACATCTGTAACCTGACGAATAAAGAAAGATGTACAAGGGAAGACATTAATAAGGAATTCAATATACCGAATATTATTTTAGGAAAAGTTATTGTATTTTGTTCTGCATGGATTCCTCCTACTGGGAAGAAGAAAATAAGGAGAGAATGAAAATGAATTGTAATATGGTTTTTCTTTAGAGGGGAGAATTTTTTTTTTAAACCTCAAAACTACTTCACTCCAACACAGGCAGTTGTTAAAAACAGTTCTAATCAGACACAACAACCTGGCAAAAGGTTCCAATGTATATTTTTGATACAAAGTCCAGAGACAACATCTTAGAATGTCAAATTTCTCTTTGTGCTGCAGGCAAAACTGGAAAGATGTGTAGTTTTTTTAATCTGTACCATGATCTGTACAATTTTCCTAACTGCATGAGCCACCCACCTCTCTTCTCATTCCACCCCAAGTCTGCCAGCTCACACTTCAGCCAGATGTGTGATAGAGCAGTGGATATTCACATCCTAGTCTTTAAATCCAGAATATAGGCATTATTTGAAGTGTCCAAGGCCAGCTAGGCAGGGCTTGGAGCAACCTGGTCTAGTGCAAGGTGTCCCTGCTCGTGGCAGGGGGTGGAATGAGATGATCTCTAATGTCTCTTGCAGCCCAAACCATTGTGGCATTCTGTGTTGATTTTTAATTTATTCTTCCAAAACGTGGCAAGAATTAAGACTTTCAGTTCAGATTTGGTCATGTCCATCTTTCCTATTTAAAATCCTTCTCCTTGGGCCTTCCCAAGACAAAACCAAAGGGTATTCCAGTCAAATTCTGTTTGAACTGTGTTCTTAACACAACATCTGTCTCATAAACAGACTCCCACAGCCTGGAGCCTCCACGCCCAGGTGTGCCTGTATCAAACAGCCCCAAGAAGGAAGGCAGGAAAGAATTAGGGGATCCTAGGGCTGTGGTGGAATTGCTGTGTTAGGAAGAGCCCTGGCAAGGGGCTGCAGCAATGCAGCTCCCTGACCTTTAGATGGATTTTTCTGAGCCACTGAAACCACGAACAGCCTGACCAAGTAACTTTCCACAGCATGGGAAACTGGTTCAGGAGGAGATTTTTGCTTTCTACAAGAGAAAATGTCTCTGTATCCAGGGATTAGAAGTCCCAGTCTGACTAAGGCTGGAGGCTATAATTGTCCATGGCTCTGTGAGCTCATAGCAGCTCTAGGACACGCGTGGGATTCGGGGGAGTGGAGCTCAGGCACGGTTTGTTCCACGTGAGGAGCTCAGTTCTGAGCTGGAACTCCTCCTGAATGTGTCCTTATGCCAAGCTGACCTGCTGTCTGTACCACTGGGGCTGCTTCTTGAGATGCTTTAATGCTCTTTTAAAGAGAGATTGCAAAAAGTCCATGTTGTCTGGGAAAGAAACAGATAAATTCTTCAGCAGTGTTCTGAGGAGGGTTTTGACCAAGGGAAACATCTGTGTACCATTATATTGATACTGAAGTTTTGGAGCAGAGTTAGAGATGCTGAATTGAAAGAAGCTGGAAATATTAGTTTAAAAGAAATAATTACACCTATCTCTAAGTAATGTTTCTCCATAGGAGAGAGAGAGTTTTTTAAATTTGAGATAAAAGATGGGGTCAGAGATGCTGAAAGAGACATGATTTGGATTCCTACCAAAATGCTGAGTTAATACTTGCATTTCAGTGGAAGGGTCACAGGGCTTTATAGAAAGGTGAACAGCTTTCCTGGGATAGATGTTGAGAACAACTCAAGAACTCATGTTACCAGATTTCTGCAAAAAGGGAGCAAATTCCCATGGGAGAATAAACCCCTTTCTGCTTCAGTGCACGCCCTGCTAAAAGCACTGTCAGGAGGCAGTTTCCAGGTGCCACCAGTTAATAAAACACACACAATGATCCAGGAGTCTCATGTTAGGGTCAAAAGCTGAGCCCTGGCTGGGGATGGAGCAGACACATCTGTTTTGCAGATGAGCTGTTTAGAGCACAGGAGGAAGCTCACACAGCAGCCTGAAAAGGGCTGTGATTTCAACCTGCCAGGAGCGTTCAGCACTTTGTGGGGTGACACCAGGCCATATCAAACTCAGGAGGAAATGATTTGTCTAAGTTCACCTATCCACTTGCAGCGTGTTGCAGCACAAGCCTCGTTACCTCCTGGTGCGAGGAACGAACAAGACAGCAAATCAAGGCTGGAATGAATCACCCAGAGATTCCCTCATTATTCAAATAGCTACAGATTGGTGCTGCATCCTCCAGATCTTTATTCCCTCCCCCAAGCCTCTGTCAGTCCTGTGTCCCTGTGCTGGTGATGCCTTGGGAAGGCAGACCTAGAGGCTGGACAGAGCTAAAGAATAAAGCAGGGATTTATTCAAAGGATCTCCTCCATGGATGCACCTTGGGCAGCACAAGAGCCCAGCCAGGGCTGCACCCAGGATGAACCCAAATGGTCCCAAAATGCACGAGCGCTCCCGGGGTCTCTCCCTGGGATCAGCTCTGCTCCATGTGCACATTGCAGTTCAGTGTCCAATTCCAGCTCAGCCCCTGCACTCCCATCCTGCTTGTTTTTCTCTCTCCAGCCCACGGGGTTTGTGCTCTTGGGGCTGAGATTTGGATCATTTGTCCTTGGTGCCCAGCTGGAGCAGGAATTGTTTTGTCTCCCTGCTCTGTGCAGAGCTCACCATCCCCTCATGTGAAACCCAGACGCACAAACTAAAGCAGACTAGAATGTGAAAAATAGAAAAGCCAAACCTGAGGCATCTCTGGCACTCACCTGGGCCCCAGAGGGTGATGCACTGCTGCTCGTGGGTCTGGCAGATGCCGTTGTAGCAGTAGCCATCCACCCCGTGGCACGCGTGCCCGTCGTGCAGGTAAACGTTGGCCGGGCACTGCGGGCTGGCCCCCGTGCAGAACTCGGGCAGATCACAGGAATTGCTCGACTCTCTGCAAGAGATCCCCGCTGGTTTGAGCTGCAAAACAAACAGAACTTCAGCAGCCGTGCTGTGCCTGGGTCAGCCCTGCAGTACAGGAGCAGATTTCCCCACTGGCCCAGCCCCAGCTGGCTGCAGAGACAGAGCAGGGATGGCAGAGCTCGGAGTGCACGGATCTGAGCAGTGCTGGGAGGCTTTGGCAGGAAGCAGGGTCAGATGAAGCCACACACATGGCTCACATGGCTCAAGACAGAAGGAAACCCCAGCCCTGACGTTTGCAGGTGGCTCCTTCATCGTGTCTGAGCACAAGAGCTCTGGAAAGGAGGATCTGGAGCACTGGGAAAAAGGCAGGTCAGAGACTCTTCCATCCAGGGCAGCTGATCACAGAACACTGAGCTGTGTTAGGGCTCAGGAAGTCACCAGCACGCTTGGCTGTGGATTCAGATGTGAATTCAGATTCATTTCCCAGCTTGGAAGGTTCAATTCAATGATCTTGAATAGATCTTGAATGTTAATTAATCTATGCAGTTACATTTCCTCATGGAAATGTTGCTGTGATGGGAATCAAGATCTCCTCAAACTTAGTTACAAGATTAGTCCACGTAACTGTTTGTCCTGTACCAATTTCCATGGAAAATGATATTTTTTTTGGAACTGATGGTGGAACATGCCAGTCTGAACATTCACATCTCAACAGCAGCCACAAAAGTTGGGTGTGCTCTGGGAGCAGCACTGAATTTTAATCCAATTGCCTTCAGTAAAAAGCAAAGGGCATGAAGATAGATTGATTTTGCTAAAAAGCAATTCCTGGCCATGGGGATCCCTTGCTGCTCCAAGCTCATGGGTTGCCACAGACAGGATGGCAACTTGCTGGATATTTTATTAGCCCACAGGCAAGGGATGGTCTGAGAATTCAAGCAGGTAAATGCCTGTGGTAAGTTGGCTTTTATAGAGTGTTAGGAGACCACAACAGCTGATGATCTGCTATTAAAAATACATATGCTATTGACAGAATTAATAATTTAAGAGTCTACCCCCAAAAAAGAGGGTTAAGCATTTAATGACTGCTTGCTGAATAAGAATGAGAAACATTAAAGCACACAAAAGTTCATGAAAAAGAAGTTTTGCATGAGCAACTGAAGGGGCCACAAAAAGCACAGAGACAATTTAAAAAATCTGTGGATCTGCTCCTTCAATAATTTATATTTTGGGAATTTTTTAATTGCTCACATGACATGCAAGAGCCTTAATGCTTATCAATACCAATTTACTTCTCCTCCATGCTTGCTTACTGCACTGAAGCAGGGAAAAACACAGGGAATTCTGCCCTCCCCACCCCAAACAGAGCCATTTCCCCTGGTTCACCTGGCAGTCCTCGCAGCAGAGCCCATGTGCACACACTGCTCCCGGGTTCAAGGCACAGGTGGTTGCGTTGCAGCACGGGTTTGTACATTCCTGGATGGATTTGGAGGGTAAATTTAGAGCAGACAACGTGCAGTCACAATGAGCCGTAAATCAAGAGGCTGCCTATAAGCTCTGCCAAGAAAAGCTGGGCATGAAATCATGAATTATGTATGAAATTCGACAACCTGATCCAAACAGCCTTGTCTGCCCTCAGATTCAACAAGCCCAACAAGAGTAATAAAACCAGAGGAGCTGCTGAGGAGGGCTGGTTTATTCCAGCTATGGATCTAATCCCAAATATCACAAACAACCCAAGCGTGCTGACACCAACCCTGATAGAGCACTGGGGTGTTTTATTTCCACAGGAATCACTGGAATGATTCCACTGCCTCCAGAGAGGATCCAGGAGCTGCTGCAGTTGCTGAGCATCACGACCACAGCTCTATTTTGTGATAGCTGCTGGCCAGGCTCCTGTTTGGATGGAGGCTGGGGCTGCCACAGAGGAAGACAACGACATGATTCCATGTAATCCCTTATCAGAGCAGACCAGTAATAGAGCTGTGAGATATGGAATGGGCATGAATTGCAGCCTCACTCACTGATACATCCCAATTTCACACTTGTGGATTAGATGGTGCCGTGTGTGGGCTCCTGCAAACTTTATTGTCAGTAGAACGAGCTCGTAAGGAGCCTGAGAAAAGAATGGATTTGTTTTTCCAAGATAATGCCCACAAGCTGCAAGTTACACCAGCTGAGCTGGAATCTCATCTCTCTCACAGAAATAGAAGCAGATAAAATAGAAGCTCTTCAGCTGTGTTAAGTCTGTTTGACTTAGCAAGGGATCACTGGCAATAGAGGGAACACAGGAGGAGTGAGTGGGTTAGAGTGATGTTCACAGCCTCTTGTTACTTCCCTGGCTTCTGAATGCTTCCCAGCTGGAAGGCAGGGCTAGCACTGACTCACCAGCAAAAACCAGAAGGATTCTTAGCATTTCACTGTTATTTAGGCATCATCTTCCTGGATGCACAAAGCCCACTGTGCTCTGAAGCAGAGGAACCACTTCCTGCTCCTATTTCTGACCACCGGAAAGCAGCAGGCTACGGAAATACTCCTGTGCAGCTGCTGCATGTCAGGAGTAACACTCCCCTGCACAGAAGCACGTTTTACAAATTCACCTCAGAAATAATCTGAAATAAGCAGGGTGGAGTGTCAGTGCCATTAAGGTCATTTTGAAACAGTCAGCTGCAATACCCCATCCTCTGGCCCCACAGCAGCATTCCACAGGCAGGCTGGGATAAAGACACAGCTCTTGGAGTGGTGTTTCAGCAGCCTCTGAAATTTCCAATTGCTGCCTCACTTATTGCTCATTGTAGGGAATGAGCTTGGTAAATAGTTTTTGTGCCTGGGCTATCAAATTGTCAGGAATGATTTTAACATAAACAAGCAGAAAAAACAAGCAAGGCTCACCCAGCTTTGGGAGGATGGAGGCTGCCACCTGAAAGTACTGCTGTGCTGGGGTTTGTTGTTTGTTGTTGTTATTATTATTAGTTATTATTGATAACAACAGCAATGATGGGAGGAGGTTTCTCAGTGTGGCTCTCCTGGCTCTTCAGAGGAACCAGAGCAGCCCTACCCCAGAACAATTTCAGCACCACCTGCGTGATGTCAGGCTCTGTCCTGTGGACAGGACACCTGGTTCTCCCCATCTCTTTTCTAAAATACAGGACAGACCCCACTGGGTCAGCCCAGAACTCCTCCGTCCTTGTGTCCCCCTGAGAGCAGCCAGCAGAAGACGATTAAGGACAACGACACCTTCCCAGTCTCCTGCCCTTCCCTGGCTTTCCCTTTGCTCCACGGGCATTTTTAGCACCTGTAAGAGTCAGAGTAAAGGAACTCACAGGTACCCAGCACAGTCAGGGGAGCAGTTCCTTCTGCTTGTTTGGAACCTGCCATTTTCTAACTTCATCTGCTCATTTCTCATGGGGGTTGATCTCTCTCACCCTTTCCATTCCCCTCAGATTTTATCAGCTTATGTGCATTTCCCTTCATTTTCTTCTTTTCCAGCCAGAGTCCTTTGGAAACTTTGAACCACCTTATTGCTTTTCTCTCAATCTTTTTTCACTCTGCTTTATCCTCCCTGGGATCAGGGAGGGGTAGGGAAAACCTGCACAAGCAGTTTCAGGTGCAGCAGATTTATAGAGGTCTGCTGGTGCTTTGTTTTGTTTTCCTATTTCTCTCCTAGTACTTTCTAACAGCCTATTTACCTTTTAGACCACTCCTGAGCACTGGGCTGACATTTTCATGAGACTATTTATTGTAATATGAAGTCTTGTTCCTCCATGGTCAGAGTCAGCTCAGAGTCCATCATCTTCTTTGTGTTTTTGGAACGTGCATCACTCCTCAGTGAGTCCCATTTCTCATCTTAATGCCTGTTCCAGCTGCCTCAGAAGGTTTCTCTGCAGTCCTTCACAGCCAGTTTTAATCTCTAGCAGCCTAACTAATATCATCAGCAAATTAAAGACTATTCTTCTTCTCAGGCTGCTTATGAAAATGCTGAGTTGTGTAGTCCCAGGAAACATCTCATGGATACAGCACAGCAGATCTCCTGCCACTGCATGAAATCGGTGATTTACACCTGGTTGTATTTCTATCTTTTAACCCAATTTTTGCCCATGCAGTTTTCTCTCCTTTACAGCTGCTCAATCTCCCAGAGAAGCTTTGGTGAAAGGTTTGGTCCAAAGCTTCTCTGAACCCCTCACAGGCTGCAGTGACAGCCCTGTCCTTTTCCATCCACTTGTTGAGCCCTTCAGAGCACTTTGATGGATTTTTAAGACAAGATTTTGTAAGACAAGATTTTGTAAGACAAGAGTTCCTGGCACAAAAGCTGTGTTGACTCGTCCCTGGCATGTCACAGCTGTTTGGGCACTTGCTCCTAATTACATTTGGAAGTAATTTGTCTGACTTCAGAGTTAGCAATTTGTAGTTTTCTGTTCTTGCTTGCAGCTGGTTATAAAAGACACATTTTCATCTTTCAAGGACCAAGGACTTTTACTTCTCTTCATTCTTTTACCTTTCTATGAATAATTTACATTAACCCTCCTTCTACACACACTGCAGCATGTCAGGCATTTTTGGTCATATAGACTATAAAATTGTTAGGATCATAAAATCATAGAATGGTTTGGGTTTGAAGAGACCAAAAATCATCCAGTTCCACCCCAGCCATGGCAGGGACACCTTCCCCTGTCCCAGGTGCTCCCAGCCCCAGTGTCCAGCCTGGCCTTGGGCACTGCCAGGGATCCAGGGCCAGCCACAGCTGCTCTGGGCACCCTGTGCCACTCCCCACCCTCACAGAAGAATTTAATCCTAATACCACTCATTCTTGGGATACTGCAACACCACGGACAGAATTCAGCTGGTACAAGTGACTGGGCAGTGAATCAGTAACTGATCACACAGGTTTTCTGGAACCACTCAGGTTAGAGCAGTAAATCCCAAATAAATTTAATTGCACCCAGGCTGCATTTTTTCCATTCTAACTAGAAAGGCAAAAAGACAGAAAGAAGAGGCAAATCAAGGCAGTGCTTGCTGACATTAAGTGGCTTTGACTTGAAAAGGTATCACTAACGTTTAGAAATGAAAACAAGAAAGATAACAGGGTTAGGAAGACGTTTGCAAGCTGCTTGCACTCTATTGACTTTAAACAAGGAGATAAGGCTGCTTCCTCCAACCCTGTCACCCTCAAGAGTGAGTGAACTGTCAGGAAATCCTCACAGCTTGGACAAGCTCAATACACTCCATAGGCAATATCTCACTGCTTTAACTGCCCCCATCTCCTTTTCTGTAGGTCCCTATTTATCACAGGAAACAAATCCCTGATCTGCTGCTGCCTTTAATTCAGATAATCAGAGAGAAGTTCAATAAAGCCAATGAGGACGGGATGTAAAAGGGATAAGGATGCCAGCTCGGATATTATTTGACCCCCAGGTTTTGCCTATCTCCTGCTGATCTGAGGAGTCCTCTGGCACATTCACTAAACTAAATGGAACAATCTTTGCAGCAGCAGCAATCTGTTTGGGAGGCAGTGAAGGCTCTTTCTGTTGGGAAGTAATTGGCTGGAGGGAAAGAAAAATCCTGCAGTGAAGGAGGGAAAGGTCTTGTACCTAAAAACTGAAGCTGCAATGAAAAATACCTGGCCAATATTAATATTTCTATTTATATAGTGTTATACATATGGGTAGTGAGGCCCTGGCACAGGGTGTCCAGAGCAGCTGTGGCTGCCCCTGGATCCCTGGAGGTGTCCAAGGCCAGGCTGGACAGGGCTTGGAGCAACCTGGGATAGTGAATAAGTGAAATGGCAGGGGGAAAATGAGATTATCTTTATGGTCCCCAACCCAATGCATTCTATGATTGCACAGTTTCTATGATTATACTGACATAAATATAAATATAAACATAAACATATTAGTGGCTTCTCATTGACAGAAACAAACCTTTGACTAATGCACGTTTGCTTGAGAAATTTGAGCCAAGTTCTCCAACTTCTTCTGAATTTAGCTGATTAGCTAATGCTGAAAGGAATTTCTAGGAACATGAGGTCATGGCCAGTCTGCTGGACAAGCCAGAGTTTGCTCTCTAAGGATGAACTGAGCGCATTCTTCACCCAAGCCCTGCTTAAACTTCACCATCTCGAATACACTCGAGACTCCCTGCCCTTCCGAGACTCTGAGGTTTAAGCTGATGGGACAGAAGCAGAGAAGGCAGAGCTCTGTTTTACACCAAACCAACCCTCCACTGCCAAAACCCTGCAGGCAGGACATGAGCAGCAACTCCCAGCTGGTGACTTACCTCAGGCTCCCCACAGTCACACTCCTCTCCGTCCTCCACATAGCCATTCCCACACTTCTGGCCACCAAAGGACTCCTTGACCTCAGGCAGGTTAAAGAGACACATTCCCACTCCTTTCTCCAGGCTGTTTTCCAGGTCCTTTCTACTGCAGCTACTGAAGACCATGGGGAATGGATAGCTGGAGAAAACCCACATGGAGACAAAAGCAAGGCTGTTATATGATGAAAACCTCTCTCTCCTGTCACACCGGTGACATTTTAGCACATCTGTGCCTTAACCAGAAGATTGTGTTCACTTTTTATCACACAGAATTGAGATGCAGCAATTCATGGTGAAATTGAGCTCAACCCATTAATAATAATAATAATTTCTGACTATGAGTAAGGGAATTTTCACTTTTTCACTTCAATTTGTAGCTGCTGTTAAGGATTGGAAGTGTTCACATTTGAAATTCCTTCTCCCTCTTTTGCTTATGGAGTTATAATGCAAATGATGATCATGAGCCTAAAGAAATGCTGGGTTTGCAAGTAGTATCCTGCATTTGCAGGACTGCAAAAGATCCTAATCCTTCTTGGAAAATTCAGCCTCAAATGGCAAATTCATTCATCTTGCTCTGCAGAATGGCAAACTTCCTGCTCTTTTCAGGAAAAAAAAAAAAAAAGAATAAAAGAAAAAACCCACTGTTACTTGATAAGAGCCTGCTTCTGCAATTCATCAAAGCTGAGCTTGGGAACTTCATGATTAAAGCAAAGACAGTTCTTATTTTAAATCAGCAGGACTGTAAGGACACTGTGCTGAAAATACTCCTGTTTGGAATTCCCAGTGCTGAGTGCCCTGTTGTGCAGACACGTAGCAGCTCCCACTCCTTTTGCACAACCCCCAGGCAGTGAGAACACAACAGTCCCGTGCAGTACAAACACCAGCAGGTAACTGGTGCTTTTCTCTGGCAGAACTCAATTCCATTTCTGCTGATGAGTGTTTGCAGTTTGCCTCACAGATGAGGAACCAAGTGACACCAGGGCCTGGCTGATGGCACGGTGTCCTTGGTGCCTTAAGGAGCTGGGGCAGAGGCTAGAGGGAGTTCAGAGGAATAAAGTGCAGATTTATTGAAGTGCCTTCAAAGGCCACTCCCTGGCAGTGCCCAGATGGCTCCAAGATGGAAGCAAAAGAGCTTGGGCACGAGATCTCACATTTTTATAAGTTTTAGTCCATTTGCATATAGGAGTTAACCGTCCAATTAACAGCTTCAAATGATGAAGTTTCATCCTCCTTGTTTGCTTGCCCCCCTCCTCTTTTCATGTTGTTCATCCTTTGGGCCTGAAATTTGAAGAGACTGTCCGTGAGTCTCCAGCTAGAAAAGGATTTTTTTGTCTCCGCCATGCTGTGAAAAGATCCCAGTAACACTTCATATAAAGCTAAAGCTGCACACCAAAACAGAACAGAAAAACTCAAACCCCAAGGTGTCATCCTAAGGGCTGCTGTGACTGCTCTGTGCTGAGATGTCATGGAACCAGAATCATGGAACAGTTTGGGCTGGAAAAGGACTTGGAAACCATTTCATCCTACCTCCAGGGGCACTTTCCACTACCCCAGGGCTCCAAGCCCTGTCAGCCTGGCCTTGGACACTTCCTGTGGCTGCTCCATCCCCAGCTTCTTTGGGAAACCCATGCCAGGGCCTCCCCACCTCGACAGGGAACAATTTCCCCAAATATCTCACGTCCACATTGAGTTACATTGAACCTGTGTCACAAACATGGTGTAAAACAGCTTCTCCCCTCAGACTGATACAGAAACTCAACATTTCAGCAGCTCAGGAGCCAACCTGGCAATTCCACTTTGCTCACTGAGTGCTTTGTGTCACCCACGTGCTATTAGGATTGTTATCTTTGCAGACAAGCAAGATAACAGATAGAAATTCTGCACTGCTGAACTTCAGACTTCCATTAATCTCCTGGTGTTTCTGATATCCTCAGATGAAAAGCTTGTTTTGGGAATGATGATGCCCGTAGGCCTTAGAAAGGGATAATTTCTATTAAAAAGAAAGAAATGTTTGGCAACTACAAATGCAATAGAGCTTCCTATGCTGACATAAGGAAGTTAATTAGGATCTTCTAGAATGTTATGGATACATTACAGAACAGAATATATCTTGTGCCTAGTTAAAATTGCCTTTTTTACAGTTTCTTTTGCAATAAAACAGCCAGCTCATTGGAAAAGAACATAAACATGAGTCTGAAGAAGAAAATAATTTTCCAATATCACTGTAGGGCTTGTCAAGTTAAACTAAACAGTTTTGAGTTTCACTGACATATGACTTCAGAAAGCTAATAGGCATCTCCATGTAATAAGCTGATTGCTGGAAAATATCAATGTTTCAAAAAAATAACAGAGTCTAAGATAAATAAAGAAATTTCAGAATAGCAGGAGGTAGAGCCAGGCTGTTAGCTGGGCCCCAAGGGAGGGCAGGGAAGGTAGTTGGAGTAATGGAACAGAAAATAAAGGCTCTTGGAAAACTACTGACCATTTTATATTGAGCAATTGGAGATGTTCTTAACAGGACACCACAAACTTCTGTCCTGCCCTCAGTGTGACTGGGAAGAAACCTCACAAAATTCTGTGTACGTGACTGTGAACAAGTAGATGGGTGCACATTCCTGCCAACCAGCAGGAAAAACCAAAGAAACCCAGATATATCTGACTGATAAATCCTGATGAGGGCTTGATCAGACAGGGCCTTCACATCAAAGTGTGAATAAATGAACACTGCATCATCCAGGCATGATCCTGCTCTTCAGTGGCACAGGTTTGCTTTGATATCCACTGGGGTGAGACAAGGAGACACACACCTCTCAGGGAATGAATCCATTCCGGAGCACAATTAACGCAGATTTCCTTGTGACACCTCTCAGACACACACAGAGCACGAGGACAGCTCACCAGTCAAAACTGTCACTGCTTTAGTGCTGTTCCTTGGCATGCCTGGATCCCCAGGATCATTGGCATGGATGTGAGGTGTCTGTCCTTCAGCAGACTCCTCTCTCTGTGCCGGAGGTGAAATTGTGCAACTGCTGATGAATGAGGTTTATGTTTCCCCCCCAAAGGAACTTCAAGCTGTTTCCTATTTTGAACCCAGAGATCCATTCATCTTCTGGCTTTTCCTGCTCCTGACACTGGTTTCCTCAGCTGACATCAGTGCAGGCACATGAGGACATTTCCTGAAACGCTTCTTCTTTACCAAGTAATCCCCAAATAAAGCAATAAAAACCCAGAAATAAACCCAGCTGGTGGAAACAGAGAAACTTCAGGGTAACCACACCATGCAAGAGAAGATCCCACATCAATTGGTGCCAATTGGTATTTCATTGGAAACCTGATTGATCTTTAATGTGATATTCTGATACACAACCAGTCTTCTTTTCTTGACCAATAAAATTCCATGTAACAGTCACAGCACTTGATTGTTGTGATTTTAGGCTGTATTTTGTCTGTCTCTGCAATTTTAAAGCTGTTTCATCAGAAGAATGAAATGCCTGGCAGATGGGAAGGGAAGTCACAGATATCAGATGTCAGCAGTGCTCAAACCAATGTTTGAGTGGATCTGGAGCTTGTGAAAAATGCTAAAGGCATGGGGATGTGAAAGGAATTAATCCTCTGAACAAATGCAGGAGCTTCCTCCCACTACCCTGTAAAGAGGCTTCTGATCTCCCCTGGAAGGAGCTGCCTCAGGGTGGGAGAAGGAGATGGGGTCTCCACAGTGGAGTCAGCCCTTGACCTATCTCCAAGATTTCTGTGATACCTAAACAGGGACGTTTGTGCTTCCTGTGGTAGCTCAGACACTTACTCTGTTGGAAAACCAGCTCATGAATGCCATGAGAGAACATTCCAGAGGCGAAAAATTCATCAGCAGCCTTTATACTCCATTAATCTCCACTCAAGACATTTTCTGTTACAGATCCTTATTTCTTTTTACAGTTGGAAAGAGAAAGGACACTTCAGTCCAACCTCACTCTTATTCCAAAATGCTGTGTCCTATGCATTTTTTACACTGTCTGAATCTGTAGATTTAATACACAATGGATCATTTTGTCAAACCGTTCTGGCTGTGGGTACAACTCTACAGAACTCAAATTGTTCCCAGCACTACCATCAGTCTCCTCAGTGGCTTTACAGCAAGGAAAACCACTTCAGTCTTTCTGCCCTTCTCGAATCCACAGCATTCCTTGGTGTCTCCTTGGTGCTTAAAAGATGTGTTTAAACCCCAGCAACAAATATCCCAGTTTCCAACAAAAATAGCTCTGCCTGCTCCTGCAAGTAAGACCTTCACAGTTGTCAGAGGATCCTTGGTAATCGATTCCTTGGGAAACACAGCCTGGGCTTGTCCCATTCATTTATATTTCAAGCACTCCAGCCCTCCAAATGCCAGGTTCCTTTAGGCAGCTCGGCATTTAGCCTGTATTAGATGGCTCCTTCTATTAACTAAGTGAAGTGGCATCAGCACTCTGTCAAGTCCCATTTAAGAAGAGAGGATTCTTTGTACCAGCACCTCGTTGCCCAGCACAGGCTTCTTTTCTTTTCTTTTTTTCCCCCCCCACCACAAAAAATATAAAAGCTCATCCCCGTCATCTCCATTCCAGAGGAATTCCCCTTCCCCAGGGGCTGAATGACAGGAGAGTTCAAGCACAGGAACAGAGCCACTGCCCCAGAAAATTACAGGCTGAGGAGAGGAGACAGGCAGAGCACTGAGGAGAGAGGCAGTGGCTGCTGATCCGTGCAGGTCACAGCAGATCCGTGATCACTGCTCGGGCTGCTGGGATGTTCCCACTCCTGTCCTTTCAACTGCTCAGGCTGCTGGGATGTTCCCATTCCTGCCCTCCCCACTGCTCGGGCTGCTGGGATGTTCCCACTCCTGTCCTTTCAACTGCTCAGGCTGCTGGGATGTTCCCACTCCTGCTCTCCTCACTGCTCAGGCTGCTGGGATGTTCCCATTCCTGCCCTTTTCACTGCTCAGGCTGCTGGGATGTTCCCATTCCCATCCTCCTCACTGCTCAGGCTGCTGGGATGTTCCCATTCCTGTCCTCCCCACTGCTCCATCTGGAATATGCCTGGAGGGGCAGTGCCCTGAGCTGCAGGAGACCCAAACCCCTCCAGCTGCATTGCAGCAGCACCTCAGGAAAGGTG